ATATTTTTAGAATCTAATAATAAATTTTCATTTTATAACGGGCTCTACTTATTTCTCATTCTCTCTCTCTCTCTCTCTCTCTCTCTCTCTCTCTATTTCTTTTCCGATCTTTCCCTATCCTCTCTCTATCTTTCCCTCCTTTTCTCTCGTTCTCTGTAACTTTTGAGCTTGTAGTCTTGTAGGCTTGTTGTGTTTGTTGCAGCTTCAAAAATTGTATTCAGACTTTTGATGCGATAGTTGTCATCGATGAAGATTGAGTGGGTTTTTCTAACTCTTGCTTTGTTTTTCTATTTGTTTTCGTATTAGTTTGATTCATAGATTTATAAACGCAACGATTAATAAAGTGACAAATTGCAAAATCAATTATTATTCAAAAGTATTATAGGAGTTTTAATATTGATAGATTACGATGTTTGTCTTACAACGTGAACTACGTAGGTGTTCTTTAAATTAAAAAATACATATAAACACTGTCCCGACACAAACAAATAATAATCTTTGAAAGAAGCATGGGTCTTAAAATCTAAATAATTTTGATACACATTTCAAATGTTTACGGCACCTAAAGCAGGGCTGAGAGGTATAATTACTTATTATGGCCATCAAGATATGATATGTAGGCATACGAGCAGCTGATCCGACTGACCTTTCAATGTTTACTTTCGTTACTTTTGGAATGTTGTTTTTTAATGAAAATGTATATATTGTCTATAACGGATTGCCAACCATATATGCTACCGCGACTCAAGTGATACCCAAATAATTGCAGTAATTTCATGCTTTTCTTCCCTTCGGGCGAACATGAATCGTATCTCTATTTCGGTCTCGATTGTTCGGCGAAAAATAGACACTCTGCGCCGTCAGTGGTGTTGCGCGCAGCAGTGCGTCGGCTAAACTCTCTTCGGAGTCGAGAAAATTATCACCGATGAGCCCATAATACGCGCTCACATATACGGCTCGTTTATATATTGCCCTAATTATTTTTCTTCTCGACTCTCTTTCTCTCTACTCGGTGTATAAAAGCATCACTGACTCATGCATTGTTTGCACAGCAACTCAGCGGGCTCCTCTTCTGAATATTCATCCGAGAGCTCATTAAATTGTCATATCGCCGAGCTGACCGAGTTTTTTTGAAGAATGCTCGAGAATTCAGTTAACGTAATTTCCTGATGAGTGATATGGAGAATTAACTTCGAGAAAAATCGATTAAAAACTCGACTCTATTTTTCAATGTCAAGTTGTCCTGATAAAAATTTAAGGTTTTTGTTAAATAACATGTCAAATATCTATCTAAGCACATAAAAAATGTTCAAATTATCGTAAATTTGATCGTTTCTCGATATCAGTTAAAGAACTGAATTTGTCATGTAGTTTTGAAAATTCGGTGAAAATCTTTCAGAAATAATACAACTATTGACTCAACTGCAATAAATTCTGTTTTTTATTAGGTTTAAATTGAAATATGTTTCAATTATCAATTTAAGGCTATACAAGTAAGCTAGCCCACTTATGTTCAATAAGTTTTTTGCCGTTAGATTCGCATGATAATATTAAAACGTCACTAACTTTTGCTACCTATAGCTTTTTTAAGACAGTTGAACGATACGAATGTATAATGGATTATTTTTGAAAATTTTGCTACAAATCAAAAATTTTATTTTATGCAACTAATAAAAGTGATTTTTATCGAACGGACCGATTTAGAATTTCCAAGAATTGAAGCTTTTCTTGTATAATAAGTAAATATCTGGTTTTAACTTCAAGGATTATTTGTAGTTTGTTTTTATTTACAATAAAGTTTTGTTAGAGTAGTTTAGTGTATCGCGCGAACAGAAAGCGAAACAAAATATAAACAATGTGTAACAATGATAGGTTGTCGAAAAAAGCGCAGAAAAATCAACAAAAAATTTTCTCCCAAATCCTTCGCAAAGCCACTGTAAGTCCGCTCTATATGCGCGATGTACATTATATAGCTGATCGTATTTTCTATAAGTCTACACGAGCGTATAAAAATTTCACTGTTGATTCCCCGAGAGATTTTGCTGGGAATTTAAAAGGGAGCTCGTACAAATGTAATCCAATCTATTTCAACTTTATCAACCTATAAGGACGCATCTAAAAGATCCCGAACTCTTCATTCTAAGAGAGCTTTTTTCACCCGTTAACGCAAAAAATGTAAAGTTTCATGCGTAAAAAAAGAACTAACGCAATTGGCTTCGATCGAAGTTACTTTTAGTCTTTATTCCACTCTTTTTCGTTTACGCAGACTCAATTATTACACATCATGAATAAAAAAAAAGTGTTTCTGCAGATTTGAAATCGTCGTCAACCCAACAAACCCTTTTTCCACTATAATGTCGAATCTCATTTAGAAAACAAATGCCAATATCCAGAGTTTGGAGAGAAATTCATTGTCTTGAATCTTATAAAAATAAATTTTTTGACGCCGTATTTATAACAAGTGAGTAAGATTCGGTAAATGTTATTAACGTGAATAATATTATTGTTTTCTTCTTTTTTCTGAAAATATATCTGTCGAGCCGAGGTGATATCGTTTTTCCTCGCAAGTATGTTTTATTGAAGTCTATCGCATATATGTCACTTCTAGTACGCATTGAATAAAGAACATCTCGAGCGAATGATATTTTTTTCCCTGCCCCTCTCTCTCACTCTCTCCGTTGAATCTCTTACACCGAGTAAAATAAAAAAGAAAAGAAAGATCGAGAGAAAAAGAAGAAGAAAAGTCCGAAGTGCTGCACGAGAATCCACACACGGGTGCTACTTGCATCGGCGCGCTATACGAGTCTCGACGAAGATTTGGAAATAGTTATGTAGACTCAACTTGTACTTGGCGAAAGAGAGTTATAATATCCCCAGAGGCATCAGTTGTTGAGAAATATACCCCGTACGAGCTGCGATCGGGCTAACATATACATACACATGCGCGCACGCACAGGAGAGAAGTTTTGACGTCATCGGTCGGTCGAGCTTACAGCGTCTCGTACACGAATACGCGATGTATTCGTAGGCGTGCAACACTTGTAGCTGTCTTTTATAAAAATAAAAAAAAAGCGAGAGAACGAAAGAAGATAAAAGAAAAACAGCAAATGAAAACAAATGAAGCTTTGATTGGATTCGATGCTTTACAAGTTGGCCAGAACACAATGATCGAAAATTCGAGCGTATCACCAAGAATCGAATAATTCTTTCTATAATCTCTGTATAGCATATTGAAAGTAAAAGACACGGGGGTCGTCGTAAAAATTATCCCATTTTCGTTGCGAATGTCTTGGTAATACGATCGAATTATCTATTGGTGCAAATTAAAAGAGAAGTTTCACTTTCATTTGGTTCGCGTAAGTCATTAGGCCACAGTGAAAAAAATGCGACATTTCCCCCGCGCGATACACGTGCGTAAGCAAATCCTTGTAGCTTATTCAATTACATTAGAAGCTAGTGCACTCGGATGTACAAAAGAGAGAGAGAGAGAGAGAGTGAGAGAAGTCTTGAGAGAGGCGGTGGCAGCTGCAGTGCCCGTCAAGGCCTGCTCGAAAACATGTGAAAATTATAAAAGCGCGAATCAAGGCAGTGGCCAAAGATGCAGCGTAGAGTGCACGTATATTATACCTATCGTTATTATAGGTATCATGCCACAGAGTAGCTCGGTTGCGAGAACGAAGAAGAGGAACGAGTACATGAGATTATAAGCCCAAGCCGAAGAAGAAAAAGAAGCAGAGAGAGAGAGAGAGAGAGAGAAGTGGAGAAGAGGTGGAGAGAGAGAGCGCAGACATCTTGACAGAAAGTTGGAAGTGTGTGTGTGCGTGCGTGCGCTATACATATAACGCGAGAGAAGAAAAGTCGCGAGGGGGGCAAAGAGACCGACGATTTTAGACGATGATGACGACCATCCGAACGACGTGGCCCGCTTAAGCGCGCGCGTACACACGGCACACACGGAGTAGCAGCCGCGGACGCAGATACGTGGCCGGAAAGCGCGTGCAACACAAGAGCCATCCGCGGGGGCCAGCATTAAATAGTCGGCCGCCACCGGCCGCGCTCGCATGGCTCGCGTCGCGGAGAGCTTGACTCGTTGCTGCTCTGACATAAGTCGTGAAAAAAAGGAGGAGTCGCGAGAGAGATTCGTGATCCGCGAGAGCGCGTGCGAGCTTGCGAGCGCCAGACCGCCGACCGATCTCGAAAGTAGCAAGCACGTCGTAATAAGCGCGCGCGCGCGCGAAAAAAGTCTATACGTGCACGCACTCGTTCGCAGCTCGATCCGAGGCAGTCGAGCAGCCACGCGCGTCCACGTGTTAAGTGATAAACGAGAGTGCCTTTTACGAGAGAAGCCTTACTTTCGTAATTACGCGCCGTGCTTGCGGTAAAGCGCTGAAATAGTCGCTCTCGCTCGCTACAGCTTCGAAGGCTCGTTAATCGTGCGCTCTCGACGATGTCCGGAAAGTTGGCTGGCTTCAACGAGTAGAGGTCGTTGATACGTAAGGAGGCTCCTTGGCGGCTCCAATATCGTGCAGATATACACATCCAAATTCTCGAGTTTTCGGCAACTTCACATTCCAAAAGCTCGATGTGAAAGCTCGTATCCTATTAAGAGTGTGACAAGTGTTGACGTGCGCGTTAGTTAAGTGATATCCGATAGGTGTTGTTTACACTTGGCAAGAACGCGAGTGCGTGGGCGTGTGTGTGTGTGTGTGAAAAAGATAGAGAGAAAGAGAGTGAGAGTGAGAGGGAGAAAAAGAGAGTCTTGGGTGTCGACGTCTCTGCGAAAGAGATCGGCCCAAGAGCGTACCTCATGGGATGCACAAGTCCGAGTCGCCGCCGCTGCCGTTATCGTCGTCGCATAGCGACAGTAACAACGAACGCAGCAGCCATCGTGGAGGCGGCTCGCGACCACGAGCCACTATCGGAAAAAGTAGCAGCAGCAGCAGGAAGGGCCCGAAGAGCAAGGACAAGTTACAAAAGTGGTGCGAGCGGCGAGGAAGGACATGGCGGACAGTCCCGGTCGGCGGCGATCGCGTCGAGACAGCCTCGACGCGTCGTCCCAGCATCAGTCGTCGTCGAGCGGGACTGCCGCGACGCGCTCGCCGCCGGGCTCGAAGGAGCGCAAACGAGCCACGGCCAAAGCCAGCAACAGCAACGTGCGATGGCTCCTCACCCGCAAGACCTGGCGCTACATGACCGATGCAGGCCGCCGCCTCATACCCGAGTCCATAGCGGCGGCCAAGATGGCCTCGTCGGTGGCCCACCACCAACAGCAATCCGAAAACATTCCGATCGAGCTGATCGAGCAGAACTTCCAGGAGATATGCTCGAAGGAGACCAAGTTTTTGCCCGTGCCGAAGCGCAAGTACTCCTGTCCGGGCAGCTGGCTGGGTCTTCCTAGCATACGCGTCAAACCGCCTCGTCGCATCGGTGGCAGCTGCCGGATCAAGCCGAGCTGGCTCGACGAGGCCGAGCGCCGCTCCAGAGGCTCCAACTCGAGCTTCGGCGGCGTGCCCTCGAGTCCCGTCATCAACTCCGGCCGGCTCGACTTCAACAAGGTCAAGCGCGAGTGGCTGCTGACGGACCATCATCACAGATCGTCCGCGACGACGCTGGACAGCAGCGGCGGTGGTGGCGTCGGCGGCAGCGCGTCGAGCTCGCCGGGAGTCGAGCAGGAGCGCCTGAGCCGGGAAGAGGCCGAGACCAGAGAGCTGGAGGAGATGTTGGAGAGACTCCTGATTATGCAGGAGTCGCAGAGCGCCGCCTCGACGATCACGAGCACGAGCAGCAATCCGACGACGACGCGCTCGACCTCGGGCGACCACTCGGTACCGGGCTGCGGGCTAGCCAAGGAGCCTTCGTCCAGCACCACAAGTAGTTTAGATTGCAAGAAGCTCTTTGAAAAGTTGAATCAGCTTCTCAACCAACTCATGTCGGACAGTAGACGAGACGAAGCGTCCGGCAAATCAGCAACAGCAGCAGCAACAACAGCAGCGACCTCTACGTACAGCGGCAGAAGGACTACGACTAATTATCCCGCTTCCGCAACATCCTCGACAATGACCTCTTTCGATTCGACCGGTGGCGTTTCCAGGAGGGCCAAGCCTTACCACAGCGACTCGGGGCACCAGATGCTGCTCGACACCCTGAGGCGCCAATTCGGCAAGTCGCCCAATTGCGATCACATGATGCAGGACATTCTGACGGACAGAAAGAAGTTGTCCGATCTGTATTTCGCTGTCAGGCGAGTGAGGAATTTTCGCGGTCCCAGGTCGACGGGCGTGTGGACCTCGCCCTCGACCAGATTCTTGACGTCGCCGAGTGGCACGAGCGGCACCGGTGGCAGCCGCAGCCGTCTAGGAAAGAGCGGCGGCGACGACGCGAGGGACGGTCGAGAGGTCACCTCGCCGCCGCCGCTGATCGCCGTTCAGGGGCCTAGTATCGAGCGCGGAACCACGCACCAAGGCACGCAGACCGATCCGGTGTCGCGCGAGACCCTCGACCACTGCCTGCAAGAGCACGTGAAAGAGCATCAGCAGCAGTTGTCGCCCAAAGAGCAGCAGCAGCAGCATCACAAATCCGGTCGTCGGCGTAGCAGCCTCGAGGACGACGTCTCGCCCTCGGTCAGCGACACGATCAAGCGCTACCTGCGCATGGCCCGGAAAAAGTCCGTGGACGGCGACAAGGCCGACAGGTTCAAGCGCGTCAACTACGATCGGAACCTGCGCAACATCAAGGCCAAGGGCGAGATAAGCAAGCCCGGCGACGACGACGGCAACAGCAAGGGCTGCCAGACCCAAACCAACTGGATGATCGGCTATCGGGAGATGGGCAGTATGCAGCCGGGCGAGGCGCTGCAGCTGCTGCTGCTATCGGACGACGCGGAGACGACCACCTCGCCCATCAGCCGCGACGCCAGTTCGAGGAGCAGCATAGACGCGGGCCTCGGCAGCGAGGAGCCGACGACACCCAAGCATCATCAGTCCTTTTTGTCCCATTTCTTGCACGGTTCGCATCGATTACTATACTTCTCCGTTTAATATTGCATACGAAAACATTTTCATGATACAAACACTTGTAATATGTTGAATGTCACGCACGACCCAACACAGCATCTAATCGTCGCCATTGGCTTTATGTTCGGCAGGTGGCAATGCGATGCAAAAGAGCAAGTCGTCGAGCAGCGTGGTGCATCACAGCAGTCGACTGGTGGCCAAGAAAATCTTTAAATCCAGAAGCAAGAGCTCGTCGAGGGCCGTCAACGTCGTTTGCGCTTGGACGCCCCAGGTAAGGATATCAAGTATTATATTATTTTGAGCGCGTGATTTTTCGATTTTTGTACAAATGCTTGCCATCGCTTCGGTTTTTTTTCTTAATATTATTCTTATCTCGGGTTTCTCTAACAACTTTCGGGTAGAAAGAGCATAAAAAAGGAGAGGGAGAGAAAAAAAAGAGAAAAAAAAAATAAAAATGCGGAAGACTATTAAACGCAGACCGAGTGCATATGTATACACACCCGAGTCGCTGTTTTAATACTTTTCTTGTACTATTCTCACACACACATACTCTCTCTCTCTCTCTTTTTGCGCGCGCGATGTTTCACGCGTGTCACTGGGTCGGTTATATTTAGTAAGGGGGCGGCCTCCCGGTACAACTGCTGCCCACGTATAGACGCAGTCGCACGCACACACACGTACACACGAGCGAGCTTGCAGAGGCTATAATACACGAAAGCTCGCGCGCGGAATCGTATCTCGGCGCGACGCGCGCACGTACAGAGGAGAGAGAGCTTGATAAATACTTGCAATAAGCTCTCCGTTACTTCTTATCCCTTCCATCCAATCCAATTCGAGTATACGTACACGATGCGATGCCCGCAGCAGCCGTCGAACGACCACTGCTGCACCGCATTCGCTTATTATCTCGCGCGCCACTCTCGTTTCTTTCCGCGAGTAAATACTCTCGCGACGATGAGATGCGGACGATTTTCTTATATCTATATTCTTCTCACTTTATATATTGAACGAGCAAAGAGTGAATGATTTATATCGCGTGTTATATACAGTCGGTTGAGGCGACTCACGATCGAGGCTATTTTTACGAAATTCGAATGTTTTTGGTTCGGAGGATTGCATAAAATTTTCGCTCGTCTCTTTTCAAAAAGTTCAAAACACAGCGGCCAGCAGCGTGGAGAACTCGCGCGCGATGACAGTTGCGTGCGCCTCGTACACATATACAATGCGTACGTCATAGTGCGCGTACGTGCGTATTTTTCGTTTGATCGAGACGCGCCTCGCTCGTCATCTCCGCCGCGGATAGTGAGTTTGAGGTCCGACGACCAGCGGCAGAAAAGAAATCAAAATATTTTGGCATGTCGTCGCGCTCGATATATAATAAAACTGAAAACTCCCAAGAGAAATACTTTGCTTGTTATGGGAAATTTCGAATTTAGCGATATAATCCGTGCTCGTATAGAGATTCGGGACGAGGCTTTCATTCGTTCATGAACACGTTATAATAACGTGGGAAAGCTTATGTTATATCTCTATTATGCAAAGCTCGCAGTTCGCGCGTGCGTATAGTTATATTCCGTTGTTATGTGACTTAATCAAGAGTATCACTGCTTATGTACATTGCGGGATTGTAAAAATGACAAAATATACTCGTAAAGCTTGATTGCCTCTTATAAGGTAGATGTGGGTTGAGCATTAATCGCCTTAAAGTATAATCACAGTTGAGGAAATACGCCTACTACTATTCGGTTGCTGAACGCCTGTACTTTTTCCGAAAATGCTTTTGCCTAACAGGTTCTTTTATTGTGTTATCGTAAGTAATGACAAAAATAAACACGTTCGAGGCTATGAGTATTGATAGCTAAGTGTCAGATTCGTCGAACAATAATAATTCGGTGTGACGCAATGTACGAGCACGCGTTAAACGATACAGATATACGCGTGTCAATCGGAAGTGATGGTCGGAAATTGTAATGGGTAATTATCGGGTTCGTCCTTTTGCTATTGCATAATCCTGTGAATTTTGTTAGGAATTCGCGCGTGCAGTCAACGTCGATTAAAATTTCGTCTATTTATAAATCGTAAGCATACCCAGCGGTAGCTGCTGTCATTCAATAATGTTTTACGCGAGTCCTTTTCATCAAAATACCAACCAATCATATTGATAATAATTATTAGTGAAATTTCACTCGTATACTTTTTCTATGTTTTATAAGGCGCTTACTGGCACTTTTATTGATTTTTATTCGTGTAAATTACATAAAATTTTAATATTTTACCTTAACGTTTGACGTTTTTTTTTTTTCGTAAAACTTTATAATTAAAAAGAAATTGAAGAGTTCGATCGTGGTATTATATTTGCATGTAATCGCTTTCACCCACACTGCGTATAGTAGGCATACTACATATTTGAATAACGAACGTTATTGCTCAAATGATTTTCGAGCTATATAATGAAATCGACATTGCAGGGCAAATGCACGTGGGCAGGTACGAGTGGGCGTAGGGTAACGCTGCAGGATACGCCGCTGCGTCAGCTGTCAGACATCGAACGCAAGGTACTCAGCGTCGTTGCCGTGGCCAAACTCCAAGCTCTCAATCTCGGCGTTCAAATAAGGCCGCCTGCCGGTATGTGTAGTGTGTACTTCTTTTTTTTTCATCGTGTTTTACTTGCCTATCGCGAGAGAGCGAAAAAGACGATTGTTCCGAACAATGAGGTTTAAGATTGAGTATTTTCGAAATTAGATAGAAGCACAATCGAAGGCGATTAGCTGTTATCGACGGGACTGTACACTCTTTTTCTTTCATTGATTACTGCCTACCTGCTGATTGGACATTTTTCCAATGAAAATCTGCTTCACCGCGTGTTCCATAATAAATACAAAGAGCAAGGTGAAGGGAAATTGATAAATTTGTAATTTCTCTTATAATAGCTTCGAATCCAATACAAAATAGACAAGATCTTTATTTCAAACTAAGAGTTATAAGCACGCGGTGCACAAAGATAGACCTGAGAAAAAACCACTCAGAACTTTTTTTTTTCAATATCAAATGGACTGGAATGTTTTCTTTTTCGTCTAAAACTTAACGTTTTAGTTAGTAATCAGGGAAAATACCGTGACTAAAGTTGAAATTTATTTTGCATTATTGTTATTTTTCCGTCAAAATATCCAGTCCTCGCTCGCGCTCTCGGGGGGAGGGGGGGTCTCGTTGTAAAATCAACAGCAAAAAATATCGTAAACGACGGAATCGAGAAAAGAGTAAAAAAAAAGAAGAAGAGAATTCAACTCGTGCGCGTTCTCGCGAGTCGGCAGCGGCGACGGCGGCTCGACGACGACGACGACGAAAAACGTCAAGGGGCGCGCACTCGCCGTCGCGCGATGCGTGACGGAATGGAAATATTTCACACGTTATTCACAAGCCGTCATCGCTATATATCGTTTTCTCTCCTCTCTTCATTATCGTTATATAGCGCCGCGGTAGCGACGTGTTCCGTAAGAAAAGTCGAAAGTATCTTCGGGAAGAGCGCCCGAGAGAAAGAGAAAGAGAGAGAGAGAGACAAGGAGAAAGAGTGAAAGAGAGATGTATACACTTATTCGCACACTTGCTCGGCTTCTCGTGAATATTATAGCCTCTTGAGTCGTACGAAAATAGCCTCTTATGTACATAAATATAGACTTGCGCATATTCGCACATGTGTGTCTGTGTGCGTGTCTGTACGTATTATACGGAATTTCATTTATATATAAAGCTCTTGCGCAGCGAGGCGCGAGTGAGATCGTGCTGTTACGGTGCATTCCAGTGTATGCAGCCGCGCGCGCCTAAGCCTATACATGTTCCGCCGCGCACACGCATACACCGCAGTCGAATGAGAGAGATAAAGAGAAGACGATTAATAAATATGCGAAGCTCGGGCAAGCTCTCCGACGTTTTCTCCCTCCCTCTCTCTCTCTCTCTCTCCCTCTCTCTGTTATATTTTGCGCACGGCATATGTGGGTCAAGTTTTTCATTTACGCACGCGACTACCTTTGAGAAGAATACTTACGCGCTCGCGTACGCACACACCCATATATATTCGCACATGTTGTACACACAGCATGCAAAATATTCGCAATGTGCACGATGAAATGAGCGCGAGAAATAGAAAAAGAAAAAAAGTTTCATGACATTTTCACGGGATGCGCTGTATAATAATATGTTTTCCGCTGGCGTTGTTTGCAGAATCGTTGAGCGGCGGCTCGAGCAGTTCCAAGCCCAAGAGACGAGCCTATTTGCTCAAGCGCAAAGCCCTGACCACCAGCCTCTTCGACAACAAGGGCAAGGAAGATAAAGACAAGGGTGAGTAATGCTCTCCTTTCTTTCGCTCCTTTATATTGTTATTACATAAGACTTTCTCTCCCTCAACGCACTCTTATTTATGTTATATATATCTAAGCTACGTCAACGCATCTTTTCTCTTCGCTGCCTTTTGTAATCGGATGAAAAATGTAATTTTGCCGCATCTCCCCCATCGACTTTCTCGACGCATTAATGAAAACTGCTTGGGATCTATGAATGAGATAAAAAAAATACATCTAGGCTAAAATATAGTAGTAAACGTCGTCTGACTCGATGCCAAGTAGTGATCATGGGTTAATAGACACAACATCACAATAACATCGTAATATATATAAATAAATAAAGTGTTGAAAATGTATATGCAGCTTGGAGACAGCTTAAGTCTACGAATAAAACATTGAATTCGAGTAATATACAAGTTTAGCTATTCGTAAATGAGACGAACTTAAAAAAAAACGGCGTGAGTTGAATCGGAATGACGTCGAAAGGGTTGCGTTGAAAAAAAACACATCGCCGTTTCAATAAATGCCACGCATAATTCCAATTTCGGATGCTCGATTAAATGTGTCGATATAAAATGGTGTTTGTTTACGAATGGAACATAACGAGCTTTAACGATATAAGGGCAAAGCACTTTTGGATTTTGTTTGACTGGTGGTCGTCGAGCGCCGCGCGAAATCGACCTCTATAAAATCGAGACTATTATATGCGCGCGGTGGCTTGCAGTTGACTATTTTTGCTACTCACACGGCTTTTGGGAATTAATTGCAGCCGCAGAAAATCGACTAGGAATATCTAGGAATTAATCACTTACACAATAGTTGGTATAAAGAGGCTGAAAAATAATTCGCTCTAGGCGACGTGGCTCGAGTCTGTACTACAGGGTCAAGTCACAGATAAAATATATCTTGACAATATATATCAACGCGAGCAAAATTTGGTTCGCCCGAACGTGGAAAAGTAGCAACAGCATCAGCGGACGTTTTCGACGACGATTATAGATCGCGTAGTGCGTATGCATTTCTATGCTGCGCAGAGAAAGACCGAGAGGCATCTGCAGGATGCTTTTGGTTCAGTTAATCTTTACAAAGAGTAGATTTCAGTCATATGACCTTCGCTTTTTGGATGCATGCACCTTTGAAATTATATCATATATGACTCGAAAACAACATTAAATGACACTCGAAGTAAGGATTATTTTGATATATTTTTTTTTTCACTGTAAAACTCTCTTTTTACAGATGCGATCGGCACTGGCTTGGTATTCGGCTTACCCCTTGCCCAGTGTCTGGAAAACGACAGAATGTCCCGAGTCGGCAGTACAGGTTCTGGAGAAATGGGCTACGACAGTGCCCTCGGCCACGCCAGTCGACTCGGCAGCCGAGCCAGCTTCACCAGTCTGTTCGAATCGACGACCAGCACCTCGGCTAAAACCGACGAGGTGAGCAAAAAACTATAGGTACTATTCGTTCACGCTGTAATCTTCTTTTCTATATCTTTTGACATGCTTACTTTTTTGTAAACAACAACACCGACATGTGTACGCGTGCTTAACGCGAAAAAAAAAGATTCACCCGCGTTAAATTCATTTTTTCCAGGTCGACGATATTACGTTTAGGGTTTAATAATTTCTCCGATTTATATCGCGGTCAGGGCGAACGCGTTGTTTTTCGCCCATTTTTCGCAATTGTTCTTGCGTCGGTGATACACAGAATCGGATTTAATTTCTCAACTCTCGGCTTCCGGTACAGCATAAACCGGTTCGAACGATCTCTTTTAACGTTTAGGAAGTGAAAGAGAAAAAAGTTTCTCGAGGCAACCGTCGCCTCAAACGATATCCCTAATATTAACTTCTGTTCTATTACAAAAATGTAACGAACGAGCTTGAGGCCACCTATGACGATCGTACGCGAACGAGGCCAACTCGATCGTAGTTATAATGTATCAAATAACTTATTTTTTCGAACTCGACACTTCCTCCGTTGCATATTTTGGCACGTTGTTTTATATTTTGGCTTTTAAAGGTTAAAAAACTCATTTATATTGCGCCAATGTTTTCACTTTTTTTTCAATACCTGCGGGTGCTGTACCGTCAAATCGATCGATTGATATTTGATAATGTAATACTATCACAAATTAACGAGTCTATTTTCGAATGGAATAAACGAAAAAAAATGCGCGATCAAAAGTTGCAAATTTCTTGGCTTCGCGCATTGAATATTCTCAAAGCCCCAAGCGTGCAAGGGGGCAGGTCTACATAAAATGCAAGTCGTGCTTTTATCGAATTGAACGCGAAATTCAAAAACAATCAACAAGCTCTCGATCCAAGTACGATTTCTCGGAAAAAAGGTCTGCCTTGAACGCTTATAAATATATCGGCGTGACAATTAAACGGCTCGCAAGTTTGACGCATTTCAGCTCTAACGTCGAGCTCTTGCACGCGCGTTACGTATACGCATTATAGTAGAGCTAAATTCAGTGCCTCGCACTACTCGCCGAATCGACTTCTGTCGCGGTTCAGAAATCAAATACTCATGTACAATTTTCTTCTTTTTTCCTCAACAGGGCGGCTCGTGGGAGTCCCTGCCGTCGAAGACCGGCACGACGACGGGCAGCGCGGCACTGACCGGAAGCGACTCCGGGGTGCTGCTCGAGCTCGGCGACGGACACCTGTCGGACTTCGAGGTCGTGCCCAACATCGTGCGCCAGTGCATCAAGCACCTCGAGCTCACGGGCCTGCACATGCTCGGCATCTTTCGCGTCTCGCCGTCGAAGAAGCGAGTGCGTCAGCTGCGCGAGGACTGGGACTGCGGCCGAGAGACGAAGATCGGCGCCGACCAGTGTCCGCACGACGTTGCGGCCCTGCTCAAGGAGTACTTTCGCGATCTGCCCGACGCGCTGCTCTGCCGCGATCTCTATCAAGCCTTCGTTCACACTCAGAGTCAGTATAAAAGTAAACGCGTTTGTTTTTATTTTCTTATATTTTGGCACATTTACGAGCTCTCTCATAGATGACATAATTTTTAGAATCTATCGAATTTTTATCGCTGACGACATCCATAAATTTTCGCTCGCGGGTTTAAAAATTTCATCTGATTCAGCCGCGAGCCACGATATCAAAATAGCTGATTCGGTGCTGCGTTGACGTAGCGAGAAAAAAAATACAGCAGCTGATAATCGATTACGTATGTTTATTAAAGTACGCGTGTGAAAAGTGCCTTGCAACATATATACATCGCGACGTATATATAGTCTGGTGGGCTTGTCGGTTCAGCAACCTTTTATCTAGATATAGAATATGTTTATGCGCGACGCGCGGTATACCTCCTTTAAGCGCTCGCGCGCGCGTTCATACGTCAGGACCGGCCGCTTTAATAGCCGCTCGTCGTGTATTAATAGACAATTCTCAAGACTCTTCGCTATTATAACACACGCTCACGTGTGTAGTGTATGTGTGTGTGTGTGTGTGCAGTGTGTGTAAGTTTGTGTGTCTACGTGCGTGTACAATATTTATATACGTGCAATACGTCGAGCACGAGGCGCACACATTCCTCGAGCGTCAATGCGCCAGTAATATTTCCATGGCTTTTTTTCGCGCTCGAATTCCTCGCTCCATCGAGTAATACGTATAATATTCCGCGCTAGCTGTGTTTCGTCTTAGCCACGCATGCGAGTGTTATATACTCGCCGAGCTGGAAAATCGTTCGCGCACGCGCTGCCAGATTGAAAATCTCAACATTTTTTTGCAATTTATTTTCCAACCCACTGATTTTACGACTCGTTCGGTTATGAGAATCTCCGAGATCTCTCTCTCCTCTTTTCTAAATAACGTATATTTAGAATACAGTACTTCTCAACTGCAGATTTTATGTAATAATAATAAAAAAAAAGTACGGATATAAATTGCAGAGACGGTGAACGTTGATTGTTCGCACGTGTAGAAAATGAGTCCATGATTTATACATTTTATAGTTCGAAAAATGAATCATCCAATTTGTATTGTATTATGATTTTCCCCAACGCTATATCTATATCTCTCCTTTTCTTCGTGTACGTATTATAGAAATTCGCAACAGACGACTACAGCACGAAGCGCTGCAGCACTTGGTGCAGCTGTTGCCGACGCCAAATCGCGAGACTCTGTACGCTTTGTTGAACTTTCTCAGCGAGGTCGCGGCCAACAGCGAAGATCGTGGCGAGTTGATCGGCAACAAGATGGACAAGACCAATCTTGCTACCGTAAGTCAAGTATTATTTCTCGTAACAGAACGAAAAGAAAAAAGAAAAAGAGACAAAACGATCATCGAATCGAATGCGTTTGAATCAGCAGCGTCAATTTATATGATCGGAAAAAGAAAAAAAAATTAGTGAGAGTGGGCGAGTGAAATTTTATCGGACGTTTACGAGTGCGCGAGAATCGGTCCACGAGGAATTGCGAATCTTAAAGCGTAAGCGCGTGGGAATTTCATCTGGTCCTTTTTTCTTTTTTGATGCTCATGATACATGCGTACTTCTTATGATGTGTCACGCGTCGATGATGCCTGGCGCACGCACGAAGTGGCAGAAAGATAGCTTTAAGTCGTTCAACTAGAAAGCTCTCACGAGCTTGTATCTGTCTTCTTACTCTCGCGTCTCCACGCATAATATAAGATTTACTAAATCATTTGGATTCTTATTTGTCCGACGAAAATACACGAGTTTTTATACATATTGATTTGGATCCGCCCACAGGTATTCGCACCCAACATACTGCACTGCGTGAAGGCCGGCCACGCGCGCACCGAGCTCTCGGCCGAGCGTGCCGAGGAGCGCATCGACGTGATCAACGTCGTTCGGGCACTGCTCGAGCACGTGTCCACTCTCTTCATCGTACCAGCGGCTTTGGTCGACGAGCTCTACTTGCACATGATGGACAGTCATCCGGCCGAGCTGGATGCAGTCCTGTCTAGGCGCGCCGACGAGTGAGTTTCATCACCTTCTCGCTCGAGTTCAATGTAAATGTTTGTTCAGCCGAATCGTAACCGTCTTTTCTCGCTCGATTTTTTAGACAATGCCAAGACGATCCTGAGTTGTGCTGCAGCGAGACGGAAAATTATTCGGTGGACGAGACGAGCTCGCCAACGTCGCCGACGTCGCCGACTGCCCTGACGGCCCCTGCCACAGCCGTGTCCAGCAGCAGCGGCACGAGCAGTACGAGTCAGCGGCGCCTCTACTCGCGCCAGGAGTGCCTGCACGAGGCAGGTGGAACGGGCGGCGATATCGTCAGTCCCCGACAGCCGCGACGCTCGAACAAGCGTCCGAGCGGCCGTCGGAAAGACGGGCTGGTCGTCGGAGACTCGTCGACCGGACGCAGCAACAGCATCGACAGCGTCTCGAGTCTCGAAGATCATCCAACGCCGACTCTCGCCGATTCCAGAAAGTCCAAGAGTGGCTCCGTCATCACGGCCAGTCTGACGATACCGATGACCGGAGCCTTGACCCTCAATCTCGACGACCCCGACATACCTTACATCGAGGACACGACGAACAATGTGGTAAAAAGCGCCTCGCCTAATGCACCTCCGAGACGACAGAGACAGAGAGCAACGAGCGGAGATGATCCCGCGTCGCCGACGAAATATTCCGGAGGCAGCGACAGCGCCGTCGGATCGTCCTCCAATACGGTCGAACAAGCGCCGAGCTCGCCGTCTTGGGCCACGAGCAGCTGTTCTCCGCCGGCTAGCCCGGACTCGGTCGTTTCGCCTCGACAACAAAATCCGGAGCAGCAGCAGGCGTCGTTGCAGAGGGTCTCGTTTACGACATCGAGCGAGCTCAAGCAGATTCAGAGATCATCCATGCTGGACGCGTATCATCAGCGCTCGCAGCCAAGTGCCCATAAACCGCAGCAGGCGAGCCTCGGCTCATCTTACATGTCCGGCGGCGCTACTTCGACCCGCACGCCGGCTTATACGCCGAGCATAACCAATATCGGCGGTGCCGTTATGAGGTGAGTTTTATTATTACATTATGCGCGCGGGTTCGATGATGTAATGGAATAGCCGACCAATTAAATATACCGAGAAGCCATCAAATATCGAACGATAAAGTTGGGGATGTTTTTAAGTAGTTCAGATCAGCATGTGGTCAGCCGCGAATTTCATAATACTTTAATTTATTAATAACGCAAGCAAAAATAATCGTTCACTAATTTTTGTACAGATGTAAAACTGAGGATATCGAGCGCATGATGAGCCTCAACTGTGGAGAACTGCCAAGCTCGAGCAGTCGTTCGAGTATTAGTTCGAGTTCCATCAAGCCGTCGTCCTCGACGTCGAACGTGCTCGATCACAAAAAGTACACGAAGCGCCGTTACACCGACTCGAGGCATCAAACGCGCCACATACCCGATGCCGAGACTCTCAGCAAAACCAGCAGCAGTCACTTGCCGTCGATGTCGTTCATGGGCTCGAGATTGAGCTCCGTGTTGCATCCTCACAGCCAAAAGAGCGGCAGCGGCAGTGGGAGTGCTAGCTCTCACCACAGTGGTGGCTCTCGACTGAGCGTCACGACAGGTGGTAGCTCGACGAGTACTTCGACGTCGACAACGACGCAGCCTACTACGTGGAAGCGACGCGAGCTCATATCGAGCGCGTCGAAAGGTCCTATCTTTTGATTAAAAATTTCTTAACACATATACGTTGAACGAGCGCAGACGATGTAAAAAGTAAGCTACGCTGTAAATACTCTACTATACGTTTTTCGGTATAAATTTTTTTTACTAACTTTTTTTATATAAAAACGTTTTATTTTTTCTATGCGTAATTTTGTAAAAAAAAAATGAAAAAAATAAAGTAAAAAATAGTAATAAAAAATAAAGTAAGACGATCGAAAGGATTCGTTTGTGCCACGGATTCGGGTACGTGGTGTAAATACATTAAATTCTCATTTCAAATCTTGGATTATATGCGTAGGTTAAAAAATTTTGGAGCAAAATAAAATTCATCGTTTGATGTAATAATAATCTACAACGTAGCGCATGTATTGTGAAAAAAATATAAAGAGTAGTTTTCCATTATCGTCTCGGATCCAAATGCTTTTAACTGTTATTTGTACATAATGCTGGTTCGCGGAGAAGTAAATATACAAGGCTGCTCTCTCTCGCCTCTTATTGCCTTGAGGCTATATAAATCGTTGATTACGCACAGGAAGCCAATGCAAAAGCTTCGCCGAAGCAAATCGTTTTACAATGAAAACAAAAACGAAACGCCACAATAATAAGAAAGAAGCCAGCACGAGGGTTGCCAGTACTCGCTGCAGTTTCAGTGGTCTGACCTCAAATAAATGTAATCCCTGTACCCATTCCATCCTTCGGAAATTCGATGCTTTTTCTCCTGCTCGTTTTCTGTTTACTTCCTATGTAAATAAATTTATTGGTCTTGTGTTATTCGCAATGAATGACAATTAGAAGCGAGACGATAATTGAAGTTCGATTGATAATTGCACTGTGTAGGATAGAAAAGTAAGGAAATCTAAAAATGTTTTTTGTACTGAGCTCCTACTAGCGAGGAGCTCTGATACAATGGCAAACGGACACGTTGGTACTTACTCATTCGGTATTTTTTGCGAGCATGCAAAAATAATCAGAAAATGAAAGTAATTTTAAAACTAGCAGAGCGAGAAAATGTTATTGTTGTCGGTTTTATTGTTATCATTGAATTTGTTTTATTTTATGTAATTTGAACATCGCCGGTTTGAGTGGTCGAAGATTCTCATCGACTTGATTAAATTGTTCAAGTTCATTCATTGTTAATAAAAGAAACATTTATTTTGTTACAAAACTTTCTTGTCTATTATTTATTTTATCACCTTCTTCGTAGCTAGAATAGGTAAAAATAGAAAACAAAGAGTACTTGATATTCACAGTTTTATAGATATTTTATTATTCCGTCGTTGGATTTGAAATTTTATTATCAGAACCAATCAACGACATAAGATTCATTTACATTAAAGTAACTACAAAATGGAAATTCACCTTCTGATGTCGTGTGCACAGCCGCACACGCGATAATTACAAATTTTACGCTCACTTTACCTTACGTCTAATATATATATAATGTATATTCTTCAAATACCATCTTTTCATAAATAACTAAAAGTTAATCATTAGCTCAGTAGTTTTGGTTTTTCGTCAATTACAGTTTGAACTAAAGCCTAACGAAATTACAATCATCCCCTATGGAGCTCAACCGTAATATTTTATTAAAAAATATATAAAGTTATATGTAAGCATGAAAATATCGCAGTACAATTGTATTTTGACAATAAGACGCAAAAATGGAAAAAAAATTAAAACGAGTATGTTTGGACGGATCACTGTTACGAGGGATCGACATTTGATTATTAATTGTACAACAGTTGGTGATTGTAAGTGTTACTTATGAACCATATTTGGGTTGCTGTAAAATATTTAATAATATAAAAAAAGCAAAATATGCAGGTATGAATTTCTTGCGTTATGTGACAATAAGTTGCCTCGTCGAAGGGGCTGGACGGATTCGTTATAATCGTAAGAATCATAACACATATCATACAAATTGTTCACGTAGTAGCTGAATTTTACACGCAAACATGTATTTTTCTCTAGCTTTTTTCTGCATATTTTACAGTGACGATTAAAAATTTATAACGAATCAAATTAGTTTCTACGAAGACGCATTGAAGTATGCAATAGTTTCAATGGGAAGTTCAATGAGAGCATAAGTGAGTAATAACGTATTGTTAAATATTTATAATTAAGCAACAATTTATTATATACCATCAATTTCTACCAGGATACGTATAATATCATAATTTTTTAATGGAGTTAAGATTTCAAATACATATCACATAATCGCGTTTAAAAAGTTTTATCGTTTCAATTACTTTTAATCATTATCTTATATTCGAATGTGTATAAAGTCAACAAAATAGTTACATTATAATTCTATAGTCAATTTGAAATTAAAAGTTGATCTCTCTCGAAACACTTTCATTATAAATGTTGTGCTTTAAATGTTGTGACTATTATAGCTTATTGTTTATCTGTAACAATATATCATATACATAATCCAAATTTTGATTGACAATAGTTTAAAGCACTTGAGCGTATTAATAGAAGCTACGATACTGTTAGGGCCGGCATATAATACATAATATCTTTTATAATGTACAGTTACATATGCACAAACAGTTAATAACGTACAATATATTATACTAAAATATGAATCACACCATACGAAATGATTTGCTTTAATTTGTTACTCTCTCAATGTGCGCAAGCATATTGTGTCATTATGTACAGCCCTATCGTTTTTCATCGGATCTTTGCAATTGCACATGACGCGTGTAACTTGTTAATAAATAAATCTAATAAATATTCATAAAAGTAAGCTTTAGATAAAGGTTTTAACAAAATTGAACAACAATTGCTATTATTTTGCCGGAATAAAGTGGACAGAAATTGACTAATATCACCCATCGCTCTCACGTTTGCTAGATTTACTTTTAAAATCATAATAATTATAATAATAATCATAATAAGCATAAAAATAATGATAATAATAATAAATATTATTTAAAAATCAACGCGAGACAATAAAAACTTTAGTGCTTTATATAGTTTTATACAACAACATTTAAAATCGACGCATCGTAATACAATGACTGATTGATTTTCTTCTTCTTTTTTTTACACATAATCTATCGGCATATCGCATACAGTAATAATAGTGAATATGTACAAATTCTCAAAGCGCATGTAATGGTACGACAAACGGGTTGCGTTTACATAACAATAACGAATAACGAGTTTACGACTGCTGCTGCTGCTGCTGCTGCTGCTCGTCGCGTGCTTTATCATCGGCCGTCGCAATAACAACGCGAGCCTCGCTCTGGTCCGCGTAATGATTATTGTTGGCCTGATGATGATGCTGGGAGCTGCTGCTGCTGCTGCTGCTGCTGGCGCCGTTCCTCGTGCTGCCGTTGTTGCCATGATGATCGCTGGGGGCCCGCCGGAGTCCGCGTCGCGCGTAGCGCGGACTCGGACCGATATATCATACCTCCGTGGAGTGCGTCTGTATTCGCACCTTCTTCTGGGAGCCGTTGCGCTGCAGCTGGGGCGAGGTGGACGAGAAGCCCGGATTCTGTATGCCGAGGGGCTTGGGCTTCTTGAGGGAGCTGCGCAGGGGCGAGCCGACGCTCGACACGACGCTTATGCCCGAGGTGGCGACGCTCGCCATCGATCCGTTGCCGTGCTGCGATCTGCCGCCGCCCACGTACGGCTTGCCCGAGGCGTCCGTCATCGAGATGCCTCCACCTGTGACACACGTATGCCTTGCTTTACATCGGCTCTCGTTACATGTATACATTGAACGTATTTTAAGTATAGATCGGGGGAAATTGAAAGTCGAGAATTTTTCCACCCACGCGCCGTCGCCGTCGGTCGAACTGTTATACGTTCGATGGTACGTGTAGCGTAGTTTATTAGGATCGGCTCGATGAAAAAAGGGACGAGCGCGGGAAATAAACTTTGTCAACCCGCGCGTGCATGTACGCGATTTGCGATTTTAAAACTTTGTTTTCGCCTAAATGTATGCGTATGCAAAGTTTCTCCCTTGTACGCGAGCACAAACTTTGACGAAATAGAAAATTTACGCGGAATCCAATCGGCGCGCTCAAACTGCATCAAAAAAAAAAAAAAAAACTCTCCCACCTAGATGTATGACGCAGGTTTTGCATATATTCGCGCGGGTGAAATAAAACTAATACTGAGAAAAAATCGTTGTGCGTCCTTTAAACGTAGTACTGGTCGCTCTATACAAGTCTAGGCAATAATATATTAACGATCGGGTTTCGCGCATGTCCTCAAGTGCATATAATATAAACTCGATAGCTTTTAATCGAAGCCGATACACGTGTATATGCGTATACGTTCGCCCGAAGGTATACGTAGCGTCGCGATATGGTGTAGGATTCGATTAGCGTGTAGTTATAAGCGTGACAGTGGCGTGCAGCAGCCGGCGAACCTCCTGCATACGTATACAAACATCGGATGCGCGTAAATGTGTGCGTGGACCGAGAGAGACACGATGTCGTGTGGTATAGGTACCTACGCGTCGAATATATACAGGGTGCACTTAGTTGCGCGCGGGCTTTTATCGTTCGCAATTCGCGCGACCAACCGAGCTTTTGCGATCTATATAATACGTAGGTACTACCACGCTCGCGATACACGTATTCAAAGTCGGATGTATACATTCGACGAGCCCGAGCTATCCCGGTGAATATTTTTTGTTGAAAGCTCGGTTTTTCCAAAAAGACCATCAAGCTCGCGCGTGATTTTTCATTAACGAATTTACAGCTTTGCCTATATATCCTTCTTTTTATTTATCTATGTATTTTTTTTCACGAGACAAAATCATCGACGATCTATTCTCTCCCGCGCGTCGCTTTACTTCATCGCGGCGCGCGTATACATCGATCAAGTTGGATAGAATTCGACGTGAAAATGCGACAAGCTCGCCTGGCGGCTTCATCGCTCATGGGTTAATAGCATGTCCGCCTGGCACCGCCTCGCACAGTATGTACCTAACTCTTCTCGTCGATATCTCGCCGCTGCGAAAAAGATGAAACGACGCCAGCACGGGTCTCGCGCGCGTCATTGACACGCTTTAAATTGATGCGTGTACGCGCGTATGTAATATACCACACATGGTCGGCTGTCTCGGCCTGCGTACGTCTCTCGCTGCACACGCGTATAGATATGTGTAACGTAATAAAGCGCAAAAAAATCACGTAGGCGTCGTCCGTGTCTCCGCATCTCGCTCGCTCTTTTCCTCTCGCGGATCACCTCGCGTGTATACACACATGGTAGATTATATACACGCGGCGGAGGCAGGCGTTTTCGCGCGCTCGCGTGTTTGCGGTGCACTAATAAATCGTTGCTCGAGCCGCTCTGCATATACATATTCTATAATGCAGCTGTATCGATATATTTTCGCTATAACAACCGCGTGTACTCTTCCGATCGATTTCGCAACATTCGGCAACGCGTTATTATATGGATACTAGCGCATCAACGTGACCATTTATTTCAAATGCTCCCTATATTTATTTTTTCCAGTAACATTATAATATAAATCGACACGCTCAGACAAATACGCCAAGTATACACAACAAGGCGATCAACGAATGATCGTCCTACAAAAAATAACATCTCGCATGTTGCATCAATTAACGCGGAGGCCGCGTAAGGTGCGCGGATAACAGCGATTCGACTATGTACGCGCGCGAATGCAAAAAAAAAAGGAGGAGAAAAAAAATTGCGCCAGTGATTTTAATTACTTGTACTATGCCGCTACGCGCCTGCATGCACGTGCCGCGGGTATCGCGTGATCGACGCTGGCCGCCACCGCCTATTTCATATACGCGCGCATTATTATACGCGTGTGCGCGACAATCATGCAACGCTACTCGCGCGGAGATGCATATTTCCTCTCCTTTGCGCGCGTATGTATGTCATCGTCGACGACTGCGCGAATACACGATGTAAACAAAATTACGCTCGCCTCACCGATTACGTTTTCTTCCATTGATATCGCACCTACGTCGCTTCGAGCCGCCGCCGCCGTCGCCGCCAACTCACCATTATTGGAGTGACGATTTTCTCGATATCCAGGATTGCTGAAAGTCGCTCCTCTGTGCTCGGAGTAGTGGTTCCTGCCGAGCCTCGTGGGATCGCCGCCACGTCGCGCGTATATGCCCTCGTAAATGGCTGACACGAGAACTCCGAAATTCAGCACTATGGAGACTACCTGTGGACAGTGAAGGAAAAAAAAGTCGTATTAAGTACAGATATACGACTGATACACGGCTATTAAGGGCAAATGAAGCATCCGCTTTAATGACGTTTCGATCGTATAATAAACACACACTCAGACAGGGGGGCGGGTAGCAGTGCACACGGGCCGCTATTATTAATGGGTTGCTTTTATTGATTATTATGTGTGTGTGTGTGTGTGTGCGCGCGCGAGTAGTTTGTTATCTTGGAACTTTGCCGCGGCAACACACACGCTGCATTAACAATCGACCTACTTGCGAGAGCTATGAAAACGTGTGTACGAGCCGTATAGTGTGTGTATCATGGTGTGCGTTTGTGTATGCTTGTGTGAGAGTATGTATGTTGGATGTGGAGCATTGCGTAAATAATGCCGAGCCGCCAGATGCGTCTCGCACATATTTGCTGTTCGATCGTTACATGCGATTATGATTTTCGACTATCGACGGCTGAACACGACGAGGAGATTTTTTACGCGCAGATACCCTGAAAATTACACCTGTAATACGTTTGTTTTCCATTTTATTGCAGCCTATTGTCGATTTTGCATTCTAATAGACACCGCGCACGGTATATGTACGAGCGAGCGTTAGCGAGCGAGGAACGCCGCTAGTGTATTATTATGCCGCATCAATGACGTATCGAGTGGTAGAAAAACGTATGTAACGTCTATACAGGCGACTAGATTGAACTTGAACTATTGTCCTATAGTGGAGGGATCAATTGCTGAAACGAAAAGTAAATATAAGTATATAGTATATTCCGGGCACACCGCGCGCGCTGCCTTCTTTTTTTTACGGCACTTACGTAACGCATCGTAACGAACGCGACGCGGTATGTATTATTCACGTTCGTCACCTTGAATTGAATAGTGAATTTTCTCTTTTTTAAATTTCACCAATTATGTCTGGTTTTAATTTTTTTCTTCTTCTATTGTTTACATTCGATCGTAGAAGTGAAATAATCATAGAGAATTGTAAACGTTTCCTTTGCTATCGACTAATTTTCGCTGCAAGAAAGAAACGATTTTATGAAAATACGAATGTGATTGCGAAGAACCTTGTGGTGGCTTAAAAATTAATTAGAATTAACACAGTTACGGTCACAAAGAACTTTTATTCGGAAGGAATTGGAGTATTTTTTCCATACCATAATAGACTAATGAATATGTATAAATGATTTAATAAATAAAACATATTTGAAATGAGTGTTACATCCTGTCGATGTCTAATGAGTCAATATTATCGTTAAACGATCACGTGCTTGACTCGTCCGATAAGGAACAAGAATACGTTCACCTGTGAATGATAATTGCTCGAGCGTATGCGACATGTTTACCAAAGCTCAGAGAGGAGCTTTGACAGTTCGTTGCACGCTTAAACAGGCCAAGCGAGAGATCGAGAATGAGAAAAATTGCGAAATTAGACGGTTTAACGAGAGAGAAAGAGAGAGACGAGGACAGCATTTTTTCATCGACAAAGTGCGTAATTCATTCCCGGCAATTGTAAATGTCTCGGAGAATAGACGCTTCAGCGATATAGCTTTAGAGAAGAGACTGGAGAGAGAGAGAGAGAGAGAGAGAGAGAGAGAGAGAGAGAAATAGAGTTATAACACAGTGTTGCAGGGCGAATCTCGCAACAATGAGAAATGAAATTGTCAAATTACAATCAGTGACCAGCCAAGCGATTTGTCTGCCGACCAACTTTTATTTCGCGTATTGAATTAAGTAATTTTCTCGTGATGAATTCAAGCCGAGATTGCAGTACAATGAAAGAAGTAGAGAAAGAGAGAAGCAAGATACGACTTTATTAGGTGGCTCGTTGCTTAGGAAAAAAATATATATAATCCACGATGAAATTGACATAGAAAAATTTTCCACTCGACGTACGATAAAAAAAAGTCTCGTGCTACACGAGCGAGCCATGAAATTTTATTGCCATCGTAGTACTCATTGGAAGTCGCATACAGTAAGTTAAAAAGCACAGCAGCTCGCAGGTACACGCACACACTCGTGCGAAATCAAAGTTTAGATAAGAAAACGCAGCAGTTCTACTTCCAGGCCGCAGTCTTGCCGCGGGCTTTTTTTTACAACACTTCGGTCCAAGAGAGCTAAAGTTCGAATTTCATGTGCATATTTTTCCTCGCGAGCTTCCTTCCTTTTTTTTTTCTTTGCTTTACCTTTTTCGACTTTCGATGGTGATGATGGTTGTTCTGATGCAACTTTCTGTCGCGATCCAATTCGATCTCGTCTTTGGCGCTAAGAAGCGCGCTGCGCTTCTTTCGCGTGCTCATAATTACTTTATACCAGTGCGCTCGTGTGTGTGTGTATGCGCGCAAGTTACGCGCGCTAAATGAATTTCAAGGAATCAACAAGGCGCAGCTGCTCGATAGATATAACACGTGCAGCCAGTAGTGCAGTCTCCGTGTGTCCGTCACGGCTTGCTAATTAAGCCATTGGCTAACGAGATTTTTCCGCTCCATACGCCAGTCCGTACGAGCGCGCGTTAGCGACTATAGTAGAGTGTAAGCCCACCCGCGCAACGTACAGAATCGATACACACGCACACACACTTTTATACACTCGAATTAGTTGGTATATGTATATTTTCGTCACATCCGAGTCATTCGCGGGACAAGATGATTACGGATGAAAAAAGTTGGTAAGGACGAGTCGAGCCGCGGAGCAGCAGCGCGAGGAAGGCGCGCGCGTATGCCTGCCGTGGCCGCTTCGAGCCAACTGCGGTCTTTGCCTCGCGCATTATATTATATTGTTTTCCTGCTATATATATAGATAGAGGTGTGCATGACCGTGTGTGCAGGTATATACATAGATGTGTCAGTGCGAGTGTGTGTATACGGAGTCGAGCTCGTTCGACTATAGCTCGCTCACGCCTTTTTGTTCGCTCGCGATTTTACTGTGTGTGCATACACAAACGCATTGGTCAGCCGCTGCGTTCGTTACAGGCGCGCGAGTCCCTGCCGCGAGACTGCCACCGTCGAGCGAGAGACGTTGCGCGTTTGTGTTTGTGCGCTCGTGGCCTCCATTCAAGATTAGGCTTTCTTTCGAGGCGCGCTATATTCAAGCTCTAGTGTGTGTGTGCGCCTGTCAATGCTCAATGGGCTCATGTAGCAAGCTCGACGAAACGAAATGTGCGTATTATAGGTAGCTCGAGTGCTGATGGATTTAGCCAACACCGCGAACATTGGCCAAGGCGCTTACGTCTCTCTTTTTTTTAACCCATTAAAGTACGTCAGTTCGGAGAAAAGGCGTTGCTGCGCTGTTTATCGTATTTATTAGTTGTATCGTTGTATCTCTGCTTCACGAGCAGCATAGCACGTCGACTTTGTGCAAAACAAAATTTTTGTTTCTTCTTCGTGTTATTGTTTATGCTCGCGCAGTGCATCCTTGATAGTGTTTTGATAGTCGCAGTGAATCAGATTCGACAAACAATTTCATTTGTGCGATTGGTAACGCCGAGTTTGAAAGGAGAGTTTCACGCCTCGACGTACATGCTATTTAAAATCTACGGACGAGTTCGCGTTGTACACACGTGCCCTGTGTGCACTATTACTAGTGTATTGCTCAAGCGGTCGAGGTTTAACCTGGATCGTGTGTCGGTAGCGAGCGCGCGTATATGTATATCTGGGCCCATATACATGATACGAGTACTACGTGCAATGGCTCGTCATTAAAAAAAAAAAAAACAACGAAGCTCAACAGAAGAAACAGCCTCTGAATACCAAATGGCTGTCTCGGTTTGCTCGGCTAACAGAAAAAAAACAACAATAACAACAACGACGTAACGCGCGCAACCGTTCTTTTAATTTATTCGCACAGTGACCGTAGCGCGCGGGTCATTTTGCTTGGGTCGCGCTCACAAATTTTTTTTCTTCCTACTTCGCGCAAATTACAAAGTTACAGCGAGTCGAGTCTTTAGCGATTTCTATCGCCAAAAGTCATGCTGCCGTTTTTGTTATTGCTGTTGTTGCTGGTTTTTGTTTCCGAGCTTTGCGACACAGGAGACAACACACGTGATCGAATTGACCGCGACGTGCCTGGTACGGAAAGCAATTACACGGAGAAACTAATGTAAGAAAGATTATAGCGAAACTAGCGAGTATTATTATTACAATATCATCAATTTTTAGAAACGATTCTTAATCATATATTTTTTTCTCCATAAGCTACTTTGAGTGTATGTGCGAGTACGCGAGAGTCATTAAGATAAAAAGTTAAAAAAAAATCAAATTTACCTGCAAATAAAAGCCTTCACCGCGGGTCACAATGAAACTGTTATCTCGATCGTCGGTCTGCGTGGCGAATAGACTCGCTGCTGCAATGGCCAGGCAAGCTGCAACAAAAATAAACTCATTATAGTTCTTTCTATTTATCTATCTACTTGCAGAGACTATACCACAATAAGTAATGAGTTCTTTTAAATTGAACTTGGTTCAAACTCGTTGAAATAAATGTTTGATCGTTTGTCAAAACAAACCTTGAATATGTGTAAGTTTAGAAATACATTTTTATTTTGGGTAGATGTTTATTTGCATGCATTACGTGTATTTCTGTATGTAAGCTCATTTTTAAATGAATGCCATTTTCATTGTGAAGTAATTTTAACCTAAGCATATAAATCGCAGTACATGACTGCCTATGGACAGTTGACGACAGAGGGAGGAAAGTATCATATACTGAGGAGCGATCATAATTGCCGAACCCCTCGCTAACACATCAGTAGTGTGTTCATTAGTGTTTACAAACTAAAAAAATCGAGATGCAATGTTGGCTATTCGAGAAAATTTACAGTTACTACTTGTAATCAAGCGAGTAATCAAAAACAGAGAGAAAACAGTTAGGTATAATTGTTTCTGTTCATAAAATGATATTTTTTCCACTTCTTCGGGAAAAATAAAATATTTAAAATTTTTAATCAATTTTTTGTGATTTTAAAAAAACATAAACTAATAAATTATAATACGATTTAGTCTTCAATTTGTTCTTTTAACTATCGCTAATAAATAATCTTTCAAAACCCCATTCATATATTGAAGCTTCTCTTAAATACATTCACTTTATTAAGGTAAATCAAAAGAAAATCTTTGCTTCACAACTAGAATTATTCTCAAACTCCTTGTGCTGATCTTCCCGTAACTGATTTTCGAGTGCAAGTAGAAAATTTATCATCATGAATGGTCGATGAAAAATCTCTGTAAGTAGATACAATCCGACACATCCGGTGTAAAGCGTATCTTAGAAATATTTCGTTATAATCACTCGATCCCGATCAACTATGTAGATAAGTATACTTCTGCAAAGAAAATATATTTTTCCCACTCTAACCTAAAATACGCAACTTTGCCGCTAATTTTAGGCTCTCGTAGGAAAAAATAGTATCTCAAACTGGTGCAGATATGGTTTTTTAGCAAAACGAGGGATTATGGCACGAGCCGAAGGCGAGTGCTGTAACGAGTTTTGCTAAAAAACCATATGTGCACCCGTTGAGAAATATACTATTCAATATTTTTGCAGTTGATTCTCCGTGGTATAAAATAAACAATTTTTATGCAAAATTTCATTAGAATTCTTGAGACTGTTCAGTAAAATTTTCAAAAATTTATGGTTGTCACTAATATTTAAAATTTCGTAGACGAAGAGCTTTGTCTTAAAAAAGTATTTTATCCAATTTTTCACAAAACATATTCAACCCTGAGAATATTTGCTATAATGAAAATTTTAAAATATCCAATGCAAACAATATTCATTTTTCAGGATGTAATTCTTTTGAAATATAATGCGTTTTCAAATTGACGATTTTAACACCTAATAATTGTAATAAAAAAAGTGAATGGCCAACTTTTAACGGACACGGATGCATATTAGGGCAGCTTTTTCTTCAGAGCTTGCATTACATGAAAAAAGAGAAAATTTCAACTCGCGTTACGGTGAGCGCGTTTACTCGAGCCCAACTTGGCTGATTGGCTCGACACACATTTCACCTCATAATAAGTCAAGAATTTATACAAACGATCTCAGCAATCAACTCGAGCGAGAAGCAATAATTACCTCGTTAATTTTTCAAATCCCTCGTCAATAAAAAAAAAAGTTGAAGATATACAGCAGTGCGAGCGTAGGAAGCTAATACAAGTTGGCAAGTCCCCTAGTATTGAGCTTTTACAAGCAGCGCGTCAGTAGCAACGAGTCCAAGATACGGAGGCAGTCGCAGGAAAAAGTTTTATACTCTTGCGCGCGCGTATAGGCTGTGCAGCTGGAGATCCGAAGCTGCAGTACATATACCCTATACAGATCGAGTTTATATCGTTGTACTTTCGATTTAACGCGCTATATTGCGGCTGTAATTCTATAGAGCGTATCCGGCCCTCGCCTCGACGTCTTATGTTCGCGATACTACTATAAGGTACACTGCCTCTGCCTCTACACAGGTATGCATAAATGCTATCGCGGTGGTAGTCGTAGTCGTCGTAGTCGTCGTCTTAGTCGCGGAAGTGTTCGGACTAGGACTCGTATATACGCACTGCAGTACGATTTATTATCCCATGCGTATATAATATATACATAAGTAGACGCGCGCGCGCGATATGACGATTTTTCAAAGCTTATGTAGGTATAACGCGTATGTACTATCGCGACTGTATGTGTACGACTCGCCTTGGACATTTTTACAATATGCGTCCGTGCTTGCATATAAACGAACGCGTAGATGCGAATGTACATTTTTACCCAGTCGTTATACTTGGCGATGGTATATGTATAGACGATCGATCGGTGATGGTGCAGCTTTGAGCGCGAGCGATATATCGCGACCGAGCAATCGATTTCAGAGGCCTCTGAATAAAAAATTTGCCCGCGCCTGTTGCTATTCGTCTGTCGGAAAATCGCTGAGTCGTTTCGCTGCGATAGTGCACTTTACATTATTATAAATACCATTAGGCACGCACGACTTGCCAGATGAAGAGTAAGACGTGTGTATACAGACCGAGAGCTGTATGTGTGTGTGACTATTGCGAACAAAAGTTGAGTCGCGTCAAGCGCGTCATCGTATAATATACGAATTGTTGAGCGAGCTCTGACACCTGTGCACTCGCAGTACGTTCGCTATGTTATATACACGCGCATATCTTGTAATATATATTGCAGGTATACACACACACACATGCAAGCGTCGGAGTGCAGCAGCGCGCGCGAGCCAATCCTATTGTCATGCTGATTTTAATAACTCGACGAGTGGTGTGCGCGCTCGCTGACTGTGAAGCACGAGGTGTCGCGAGAATGTCAATTTTATTTATAACGCGCCGAGCTGCTTTGCGAAGCTGTCGTTGGCTGCCTGCTGCTGCTTTATCATTAGTATTAAGAAGGCGCGCAAAAAGCTCCGCGTAAAATTGAATGTTTTCGCGGAGGCGTATATTGTTTCGTTGGTATTTCGCTCCCCTTGGAGGTTTTCGACAAAATTATATTGAAAATTCTTTTACGTAATAAACGCATAGTCTTGTAATTGCTGCAAAATCAAACGACCTTTTCCAAATTTCGAATAACAGCGAGCTTTGGTGCAATAAGCTCACAGCTGCGAGTGCGTGGGTGCACGTGCACGCGGACTAATTTGACATTTCGTTTTTAGATCGGGGAGAGGCGGATCAGCAGCACTGCGGTGGCATCGCACATAAATCGCAGTTTATTAGCGACGTAATCAATTACGCTATGCACGAGTTCGGTCCAACGGCCAAAAAGCGAGAGATACGTCGGCTCGGCTTTAAACGAATGCGACTGCAAACTTGCGTGTGCAGGCGTTGTAGCGTCTCCGAACGCGCGAGCGCGTCGGAAAAACAAGCTCGCAGGCGCGTGATTGGCCTATGTTATAACATAGTTCGTCGATCGATACACCTGCGATTTTGCTTTTTTTTTGTTTTTTGTTTTTGGAACGAAGATTTTATGGCAAGTTTTGAAAACGTACGAAAGCTCTTTTTTTGTACAGCTATCATTTTAGTTGAAAAACTTTTTGGGCTTTCTTATAACTGACGTCGAATTATCCTCTTGTGTGCAAGTCCGACGTGCACCGCTAGAATATGATGCACGACGTTCGATCCACGCTCGCGCAGCTGTATATTCCGCGTATTATCTTGGCTGCACGAGTCTACTATGTACTATATATACGTGTGCTAATGTTCACGATAGCGTTTGGGCGTGTACACGTAGTATATATAGAGACGTACAGAGAGTAGTAGAAGGCAGAGCTCCACGCTTAATTTACACCCGTCATAAATTTGATCGAGAATCGGGTCAGACTGTTTACGGGAGAAGCGAATCGGCTGGCCTGTGTCTTGCTCGCGCAGTGGACACTATGTATACCTACTTGTAGGCGCGCTGATGTGCTCCTCCCTTACCCCGCCCGAGTCCGTACATCGCTATAATAACGCGAAATGGACAATTGGCGTGATCCGAGAAAGTAACGAGCTCGAAGTTGGTATCAAAGCCACGTTTTTTTCTTCGTTACTTGCGAGGATAGTTTTTTTTCACACATTTTATGTGCGTTATGTGTCAATAATACATCGACTTCTACCTTACGTTAACTTGGCTTTCTCATTTTCCTCTTCTGTATGTATAATCTCACTTCTCGCTTAGCACAAAAATAAGTGAAATAGCAAACTCGAAAAGTTTCTTGTGCTTATAACAGCGAAGAGAATTGGAATATTCTTTGGGGAAATATTCGTACGGAGAATGCACGCGCGCAGCCGAGCTTTTCGAGAAACACGTATTGACGTTTTTGTTTCGCGCACAATAAAACGTGAAAATTATAAGCTCTCTAAAAAGAGCAAGTTATGTTCTTAACGTGCAATTCTTATCTTTTCAATTAGAGAGTACAATAATGCCAGCGAGTAATACAATTAAATAAATACCGAGCTCGAAATCAGCTTGCATAAGCTCGCAGAGGTAACTTGGGCGGTATATAAACTGAATCATTATGCGCTGCGAGACAATGATTTTCCACTGGCTTCACTTTGGCAATGCTCGTCGCGCGAACTTGGGAATAAATAAAATACGTGCGCGCGAGGCCGTCGTTAACTGATTCATCGAAGCCGCGCGAGCTGCAACGTGTATATTATATTCGTATTAATGCCCAACAAGTCGAGTCGTATCCGCGGATCGCGTGATTAAAAAACAAATGGAAAATCCGAGGATGATTTTCGTCGATATATAGTCAGTCGGAGCGGCACGTGGGCCATAGAGAATATTCAGCAGCGATTATATCAGCAGAGCAAATATTGTACGCTGTAATGCAACGCGTTAAAGTTACGTTCGTGTCCTATGTAGTGTACCCGGCAGAGAATATAGCGTATATGTAGTAATAAGAATAATAATTGATACTGACTGGCGAGAGTAGCGAGGGCGACCTTGCCGATGACTGCCACGCTGTAGGACACGACGATGCGCTTCGCCGACGAGGCCATGGCCAATTGCAGGACACTCAGGACTAAGATTAAACCCAGCAGAACCGACGCCCCGGCAGCCGCCACACCGGCCATCCACACTGTCCCTGGAATAATAAGACAATTATATGTCGCGCTCTTATAGATAGTTGGATAGAGCAGCGGGTGCGCGTGTGCGTGGACATAATGTATCAAATATTATTATACATGTATGGATGAAAATTTCAATCAGGATTAGGGACGAGGTAGGACGAAGTGCAAGGTGAAATATAAATTTGGAAGTATGTTTGTCTACGTAAATTTAACGTAACAAAGTTAGCAAGAAAAGCATATACTATATATTATATGTGAGCAAAAGTAACGACGAAACAGCTGGACATAAAAAAAAAATATTATATTATATACGCGACGAGAGTTGCATCTTGTAAAATTGCATCGAGGCAATAAAAAATAAGAGAAGCAAGAAAAAAAACGGAACGCTTACTTCTAAATGAGCAAGCGTGTATAACATTTCTCAGCTTTGCAGCTCTCGCGACTTATTTTTTTTTTTTGCCTTTTTTTTACGATGTATACGCGCGGCACTCGCGACCGCGTTCGCGCGGGAGATGCGTCCCAGTGATACGCGCTTCGACATTCGTTAAATGAAGTCAGCATGCGCCCGAGAGCACTGGATGGCTCACGTTGGATATACTTTTGTTCGTGAGTATTATACTCTAGATACGCGACGGCATATATCGGATGAAAATTTTTGTTGCCCGAGTATTCGTAATCACGAGCTTTTTCGTGCAGATACGAATACGCGTAACGCAAATGTGTGGAATGAAAAAAAGAAAAAGGACGCGCCGCGAGATCTACGCGCGATAGATCTGCCAAATATACGTAGAATTTTAAACGACGCGCGTAAAGTATTTGCCGATCGAGATAAATCGTCGCTGTCGCTGTTGGCGAGAGTATCGTATAGGTAGCTTAGTGCATTACGCGTATACAATACATTAAATGTAGTTCGCTCGCCCCCTCTCGTAACAGAGCATATGTCTTTGGACATACATATTCGTGTGTGTATACAGAACACATGAATAAATAAGATAAAGCTGCGCGATAAATATACGTAAGCAGCCCGCAGTAATCACTGCTCCAATGCATATCTCCAACTGCACAAGAGAGAGAGAGAGTATACAAATATTGACAAGAGGTAAATTTATATACGTGCGTGTAGCACAAAAGGTAGCCAAATAATATCTGAACACATATGCACGCATATTACACCAAAACATTTGTGCTTGCAGGAGGGCTTTTTTCCGGCTTATTTCTTTTTATACTTTTCTCGCTTCGGATGGTTTTGCAAAGTAAAATAATTTCATACTTTTTTATATTCCCTACGCCCAAATGTGCCGCGCACGAGCAACTACGCATATATAGCTGTCGCGGTCGAAAAAGTGAAAGAAATAAACTCCAAAAAAGCTTCCACGTATATAGTTTTATGCACCGTGTGCTACATATTATGTTTTCATGCACTATATATACGTATAATACATCTAATACTTACATAGGGGCTTGAGTCTCGTCACACCTTGACCGCATCTCTCTCGACCGTAAAGCAGATACTTGCACTGTCTCCAAGGCCCGAAGTATCCGGTCTCCGTCGCTGTACCAGCTGCAAATGATCAAACAGAAGAACGAGTTTAATTAATTTTCATCGATCGCCGTACTTTCGTGTGTACATGTTTGTTGTATACGCGAATAATTCATCATATTGCGCGTGCATGTGTGAGTTTGGAAAAAATGTAATATCAAAGCCGATCCATCTCATCTGGACGAAAAGAAGAAGAAGTGGAGAAAAAAAAGGAATAGCTAATATCACAACGAGTTCGATCGCACGGAAATTAATTCAACGTACGTTGTATGGTACATAATCCACGCAGCGTATGTTGCGAGAGGATCGCTATACTCGCCCCGAGATCGACGTCACGCGCAGAAAAAGACCAGAGTGAATATTTCAATAAACGATAAGCCTCGCTCCTCGGGCCGTGCTCGGCTATCGAAAGATTCTCGCCGCGACGTCGAGTGAATTACAATCGCGAAAATGTATACGTCCATGTAGTGTTTATACGAGCACTCGTTTAGCGTCGACCGTTTAGCGCAACAGCAACAAAATAAGGAGCATTAGGCAGCGCGGCCCACTCAGCTACGTAACATAATAATGCATTGTAAAAGTAAAAGCTTCGGTAATTTCATTACCGCAGAGCCATACTTATTTTCTGCAATAAAAGTAAATATTTGCCTCGATTGTCGGGCACACACAAATAAATAGCCAGAACGTGTACGTACGTGTGTGCGCGCAGTCACATAGATATGTACCGAACAATATGGTATGAGTAGCTTACAATAGTACTAAACTACATGCAACAACGCCATTTTTTTGTTTGTTACCGTCTTTTCATGCAACGCTGAGTATTTTGCTCGCTGCTGCAGCTACGCATACAGCAGCTGTTTTATGACCTTTACAATTGTATATAGTGTATATGGACGCGTGTAATAGAAATTCAATTCGCTCGTGTAGTTTGCACCGACGCAAATCCGCGTAGCAAAAATGCAGCAAAAAAAGGAAATATATATAGAAATTTGATAAATCGAACGGACTAGTTTCGAATGTATTCACGTGGATACACGGACCATGAAAAAGAGAGAAAAAGAGGAGAGCCTGGCTGCTGCTCTATATAGGGCCAAGGGCGTTATCGCAACGTAGAGAAGCATATACATATACACGATATCGCAGAGCGTAGGCTGCAGCCAAGGAAACGGGTTCTCCTCCCTTATTATACGCTGTACGCATATAAGCGCCGCACTAAGTGTGCACGACGTATCGTTACACGCCGTCGCTGCAGTTACATTTTCGGGCGAGGTGCAAGCAAATGAGAGCACGCGTACCTAACTTGTACCTACCTATATATGCATCGTAGAGCTATATAATACGCGCGCAGAGCTCATTTCAATTGACATTTCGCGCGCGGTGCACGCGGTCGACTTTGTGCGCTCGTATTATCGCTCGGACACGATAATCCGCCAAATTACATTCGCTTTTCCGATATATTATAAACGGGCGCGCGAGCATTACGGCTAATGATTTCTTTGACGATTATCAATTGCGCATTGGATAATAATTAAACTAATCGCTGAGTCGTAAATCAGGTAGAGCGAAGTCGTTTGCGGATAATATATAATAACGCGAAATTACGCTCATTGGATTCGTTCAAAATATCGTTATTTACTTTTCAGCTTTTGAGCACGTAGCGCGCATGAATGATTCTACGTGTAGTTACTATACACACTCGGGCGTGATATAGCCAGACGGAGTAATTTACACTCGCATCGCACATATATAATATATCCTTCGCACGCATTCGCTTGGTAGTAGCAGCTAACAAACGAACGAAATGTCGACTGACAAAAAATACATTGGACGAGAAAATATTACGTTTCTATCTTCTGCCTCTATGTTTCACGCTGCAAGTTCGTATACGTGTGAATCCTGATAAACGTCACGTACTTGAGTATATCCTGCCGTAAACTCTGGCCAAAGAATAGTCTCGTCAATTTGTTTTAAAGTTGCTCTCTCGGCTCGCGTATCGACCAAAGTAAGTATAGCAAGCGAAAGATGAAAAAAAAGTCGCGCGCACTCGAGGTTTTCACCAACTCTCGAGTCAACTACGTAATATAATATTTTCATTCGGTGAAAGGGTTGAAGCCGCATCGTCGTCGTCGTTGAGCAATCATCGATGTATAGGCGCTGGGCTGTTGGTTGCGAGCGACTCGTTCACGCAATTATAGCCCCCGCTAAATTATCGATTATTCGACTTGTCCGAGTGGCCTTTCTACGCGCCTCGAGTCGAGTTTATATACGTCGATGCAAGAGTTTGTCCTATGGAATTTGCACAGCTAAACAGACGTTTTAAGGCCGTCCACCATAGTGTATAAGATACACATCGTCATCGGGTCCTCGACGATATCAACTTAACAATGTATTCTCGTACTATTCGAACGAGTAAAAATAAAAAAAGGAGCATCAGCTACGTCTACGCGTATGAAAAGTTTACGACGTTATCGTTATCGACTCTGGCGAACGAAAGAAATAGCCAAAAAGGTGGGCGTCTAATGGAGAGAGTATGTAGTATCTTACGGTTTCAGCTAGATTTTTCTCGGAGACTGGATCGAATCGCGCCGATTTTATCGCACTCTGCCAGCTTAATAAGCCCTCCAGATTGGCGCCTCGGTACTTTTCGACTCGTGTAAATCAACCATCGATCTTTCGACTCCCATATATATAATAAAGAGGCGCTCGAGCACGCTTCATATCCAATTAGACGACGCGCTTTTTTTTTATTCCATCTGCAAAATTTATGGCTTTCAACGCGGCTGGGTAACGTTGCGCGCGTTTTATCAGAACGCGAAAAATATTTCTTCAAATCCTCAATCAAGTTAAAGCAATAGATCTTCGCAGCTGCTGCTGCTTCTACGGCGAGAAAGATCAAGTATTCATCTATGCATATGTAAGCTGCGGGCGTGTACGTTCGCGGTCGAATATATACATACGCACATGCGTATAGTCATCCATGACGAGAGCTATAACACGTATTACGGCTACGTCAAATAAGATTTCTGCGCTTTCAGGGTTGTAGCTCCACGTGAGTAGCAGCAGAAGCAGCACGAACTTTTAAATCCGGATTACAGCTCGAAATATAGCCGACGGGCATGAGAAATATGCTCTCAGGCGCTGACCGCACAATGTCCACACAATCTGCACTATAACTATCTATCTCGCTGTGCATGTGTGCGCGTGCGAGTGCACCGATACACGCACGATACGTTACGAGAGATCAGGATCTCTCGTGGGGTATTTTTTTCTCCAAAGAGTACATTTCACATTAATGTCTTTGACATTTTGCTCTCGCTGATGTGCGCGTACGTATAAATATAACCGGCATACATATACGCACCTTTCCGTCCAGATTACGAGGCTCGATCCGCCTGTAATCATTTTTTATCTAGTCTAGAGCTACGTATGACCCCGCGATGCAACGTGGACCATATAGATATATGTTATAAATACGCATGCGGGTATTATCGCGCGCGTGATCGGAAAAGCGATGCCATTTTTTTCAGTCTCGCTGGCGCGTGACATTGACTTTTTTTTCGCGCGTTAAATAATGTATATTATAGCGCAAGTTATTATGGTACAGAAGCAATTAGAGATCTTATAAATGAGCAAAATCAATTCCGATCTAATTCAGCGTCTGCAGGAAGAGCGCAATGATTATTATACTTCTTACGTAAATCCCAGAGTCGTCGTTATAACCATCGGAATTAAAATTGAAAACTTCTCTGGCTGGAGCAAAAAATTTTCCTCTTGCTCGCGTATATTAATGCATCGAGCGCGACAGTGGTTTTTACTGCGAACTTATACGCGCATCAATTACATACGTCACGTGGCTTTTATTATTAAGCGCGAAAAATAGCCTGACGCAACGAAGAGCTCTTCGCTATAAAATACAAAAACACGGTATAAATGGGTGCGGCTCGAGGGTATATGAATCGTGCGGGAAAAAGCATCCAAAAAGCATATCGAGGTGACATGTAAAGTGCATCGATACCGAGCAAATCGATTAACGTTACGTAGGAATACGTCTATGCACACGTGAATTAAAAATATAGTCTCTCGCGATTGTATTGTAAATTGTAGAGCTCAGATGTGTTTGCATTTATATATTTATTTGAATGGAAAATTAACAGTCATCCGATATAACAAATGCATTCACGCTTAAATGACGTTGGAATATATGTGGTTTAGCGCGATAATTTAGTTAGACTATCAATTAATTGCAGTCAGTTGTTTATTACATTTGCATTGCAACGATATCGACTTCGATTGTCGCAAAAGTCACCCACATGCATCGCTTTTACAAGCAAACCATTGCATGAACTTGATATTTAATACGTATGTAAATAGAGTAAAAATTTGATTCCCTTCGCAATAATGAAGTTCACTGCGCGAGTGAACATGGTTTGTATACTTGGAAAAAATTTCAGACGTTAAAATGTAAATAATTGATTCTCAATTTTATTTATGGTACTTTTACATGAAGTTTTTATTGAAAATTAATTCATACTGATAATTGGTATTGATTTATTTTTTTACATAAATATTTTTATGCATATACATTAAATCATCTACCTTTTTTAATGCAAAAATTAACAAAAAAATTCATTTATAATCTAAACATTTTTTTTCGAAATCAATATTGCAATATCATTTTCTTTTCTGTGTTAATACTCAAAAAAAGTTAGTTTCCAGTTTCTACCACTAGATGGCGAGGTCCTTTATCTTAAAATCCGCAAGTGTTCATGTAAAAGTAATCATATAAGTTGTACGGTTGCTGGAGCTTTTTACATTAGATTCGAATCGCTGCTTTTTCTAATTGTTCAAAAGATCATTTTGGCGAAGTTATTCACCGAAGTTATGATTAATTGTTCTGCGACACACTTATTTCGCGACATTTTTGACTCTTGCAAACAATTGTAAGTATACATTCAAGGCAAAATTAGTTAAAATAGATGTTAGCTCATGAATATTACAAAAAAAAAAATACTTGGACACTG